AATATTTACAAAATATGTTCTCAAATAATGACCTAGTTAGTTACAATTCGTTCAAACGGAAAAAGTCATTTAAATTGGACAAATCCTTGATATTTTTTTATTTTTTTTTTTGTAAACTTTTAAATACTGGATTCGATGAAACAGCTAATAATTCAAATTTTGTGTTTATTTAATGCCAGTGCTGTCTGGATTTTCTGTCGACACCTGGGTTTATTTGAGAAGTTGGTAAAAATAACTGAATTATCTATTAGTGTGCGTAACACACCCCTGCACAACGACGTTGGGATCTTTCAAAGTAAACACCACACTCCCTTCAGCAGATTAAAACTAATAGTTTTCTTACGTGGAAATTTCAAGATTTCCCTATTTTAAATGAATATTCTGATAAATCTTAATTCTTGAGTTAATGATTGATTAACATCATGGCAAGTTATCTGACAATAAAATATCCGTAGGAAATCACCTATAGCGTTGTTAAATATCTGAGGATAAGAACTTTAACAAAATATTGCAATAACAATCATAAATTTTATCGCTATTTTAAGAAGTGGGTACAAATGAAAAGATTTGAAATTGACAATTTTTTTACATTTCACGGAAACAGCCGGGAAACACTCCTATCTTCTTTCTTTCTTTCTTTCACTGAACTTTACTAGTGTCTCCCCCCCCCTTTCCACGCGATCAAAACGGAATAGTCCATCATTTATTAGGTATTGGCAGGAAATAACGGTCGTTCAAACTAACGAAAGTTGGGTCAAGCACAATTATAAAAAGGTTTACAGGACTCCCAATATTTTTTTTACCAAAAAATTGAACAAAAATCGTTGGTTTTGCCACGTGATATCGCGGAATCCATCGCCCTCGTCTCGATACTGAAATGTTAATCGACCTATTAACCCCTTTTCTGCTATCATTTGAGCGTGCTGGTTACTTCCCTTACGTTTGTACAGGTAGGCTTACGAAGCTATTTTCAAATTATCGCTGGTTTCAAATTCCCTTCTTTTGATTGGTTGAAAACAACCCAGAGAAGAAGCTCTCTTTGCTAGCCCCAAAACACTACATTTTTTTATTACCTTAAACAGCGTTACCACCATCAGGCTCAGAAACAAGGTTTATCAAAAAAAAAGTCTCATCCGAACACTTGGTTGGAAATGTTTTCACTCTCGATCAGGAAAACGAACAAAGGGTCGTAATTTTTTTTAACATGAATCTTTATTTTAAGACATTCTTATGTTTATACGCTCTTTTTATAGATACAAATATTTAAGTAAATGCTCTGTTTATAATAAACAGTATTAACGACATTTACCGGCCTGAATGTCCGAGAAACTTTCATAGAAAAATATGAGAGAAATCATGGAGAATTGTAGTTTAAAAACAGTAAAATCGACCTTGCTAACCGAAACGTTCTTCTGTGGTTAAATCGGTAAAGCACTCCAGGCTATATGACGGTTCTGTGTAGGATACAGGTTCGATTCCCGTCGGAGGACGCATATTTTCTATGAAAAATTCTCGGACATTCAGGTCATTAAGACTGTTTATTATAAACAAAGCATTTACTTAAATATTTGTATCTATAAAAAGAATGTATAAGCATAAAAATGTTTTTAAAAAAATTGTCGGACTTTGTCCATTTCATTATATATATATATATATATATATATATATATATATATCAAAACCAAACTTAAATACAATTTAAATGCTGCAAACATCCCTGCAGAGGAATTCGAACTTGCTGTTGAAACCCGAGCAAAATGGAGAAACACGTGCCACCGAGGTATAACTAACTTTGAAAAGAATCGTTTCAATCATCTGATAGAATTAAGAACCAACATTAAATCTCGAGCTAATACATCAATCCATATGACTGTCAACCCTTCAGCATGTTCCTCGTGTGGACTTTTTGTTTAATCCCGTGCAGGATTGTTGTCTCATACGAAACATTAACATAAAAACTGAACTGAAAGACACTCATATGTCAAAAACAACGGGAGAATCCATCATCATCATCATCATCATATATAATGAAATGGACTAAGTTCGAAAAACAATTATTTTAATATATTTATTATGTATAAGGTCGAGAAACATCATGGGAAATTTGTAGTTTAAAAGCAGTAATTCGACTTTGTTAACCAGACGCTTCCTCTTGTATCTAAATGGTATAGCACGTCAGGCTACAGGATGGTTCTTTATAGGATACGGGTTCGATTCCTGTCGGAGGACGAAAATTTTCTATGAAAATTTCTCGGACATTCAGGCCGGTAAATGTTGTTTAATACTGTTTACTATAAACAGAGCATTTACTTAAATATTTATATCTATAAAAAGAACGTATAGACGTAAAATGTCTTAAAATGATAGTCGGACTTTGTCCATTTCTTATTTGTATATCTTCTCTTATATCGTCCAGGAAGATATGCTTAAAAAGTCGCCAAAATGCTGCAGAGGGAATTTGAACACGGCGTTGAATCTCCTCTGTCAGATCCTGACTGTTAGCGAGCAGGAAATCAAGATACTTGAACATGATCAGATTGCTGAGATCTGCCTTTACCACACGAGGATCGTATGAGAACAGAGTTTGTCTTTGTTTTAATCATTTCACCCCAAGCAAGGCGTTAATAACACTAAGATAAAAGGGGGTTACTGAGTGTGGAAGAATATTATAAAAAGAAAATATCAAGGAGGAAGAACAATAAAAGAACATGAGTTAAGAGGACAGAAGATAACGTTTGACATTGCATCTAAATATTTGAAAAGCAAGAAGCCAGAAGAGAGTTCCACAAGCGAGAAGTGTGATGGAAGGAACTGTTAGCATAGAACTTACGGTTACATCTAGCCATTTCAACTGTAAAATGATGAGACCTTGCCGCTAATCTAATACTGCGCCCATAAAGTCTAAGTACCAAAGAGGAAAGCTCATCAGAACAATTACTATGAAAATTTTTATAGAAAAGGCATAGGGAATCTACGTTACGGTGGTCGGACTGAGGCTAAGATGCCAGGTCAGGATTAATAAGATTGCAGATACATCTTTGCATTTTATATAGAATCTCTAAATACCAGGCCAGATGTGACAGCAATATTCAGTGCATAGAGGAATGGTAGACATATAAATGTGTAAGATAGATTCTTGCGAAAAAAAATGTCTAACACGATACAGTGAACCAACTTTCCTAGCAGCAGACCTAGAAAGTGATTCAATATAATTGTTCCATCATATGACAGTGGAAAACACTATCCGGATAATGTGCAATGAGCCACTCCCCTGATGGAAAGCAAAAAGGTTTCTCTAAGACGATTAAAAGAGAACAGTTCCGTGTTGCAGGTGTTAAAATTAACAAGTCAATTCTTGCCCCAGATAACAACAGATTGTAGCCATTTTTTTTAGATCAGCTGCCAATTTAACCATATCGAGCCTTGGAAAAGACTGAATCCATTTCTTCTGTCTGTTTTATACTAATAGCAGGGCAGACTGAAATATCAAGCTTTGGTTGGCAACCTGTCTAGGAGAAAGTTATCGCTGAATTTAAAACTTGTCGAACGTGAGAATAACAACACCACCTCATAAAACCTACTTGCAACTGAAACCACAACAGCCACGCCTAGCGTGGTAAGGCTGTGTCACTGGTGCAGTGAGGCTGTGGCCTGAAACTCTACAGGATAGTCTACAGGGTTGGCATACATACCTCATTCAGACAAGATAATCTGTATCAACAGATGACAGTTTGAATAGGGGACTATCTAAATATGAAGCATTTTCAAGATATTTACTAAACCTTCTGTTTTCTTGAATTGTTCTGTTCTTTTATTGTCCTTCTCTTCGATGAAGTTTTCTTACCGTCCCATGAACCTCTCGGATATTAGTGGCTTTATCGCCTTTGTTGGGGTGAAATAATTAAAAACAGAAATAAAAACAGATATCGGAAAATGTTTTCCTTTTTAGGGCGAATGAAGAATAGTGCATATATTACATACCCTAAGTGTAAAATACGACACAAAAGCTTTCATTGTATGGTTTCGAGTCTAAATTCCTTGATCCTTAGTTTTTGCTTTAGATATTTGGGCGTGTCTCTGTTCCTCTTTGTTCAACAGGGAGGTAGTGTATTGCCCTCCCCTCATTTTACGAATGTAATTGAATATATTCATGAACGAGTGCGCTGACTTGATTGCTGGGTCACGTAATATCGTTCAAGTAATTTCATCTCGGTAAAGTGGTCGACGATCGGGCCCAGATAAAAATAATTACCGTAATTCTCCATGTATAATATGCCTTCATTCATAATACACGCCTCTAAAATTGTGCTGAAAGTGTGGTAAAATGCTTCTACTCATGCATAATACGCACCTCTTGTTTGATAATCAAACCCTATAAATTGTATATCTACAATTTCATTACGGCTAGCGTTTTCTATTCTTATTAAAAATGTTTTTAAACATAGAATAATATTATTATGATTTAGTTTTATGACAATTCTTATTTTATTTTACATTTGTTAATATTGTTAGGTACATGTAATTGTATTTGACATCCTTATGAGGTCACAATCGCAGAATTTTAGTGTCAAATTGTCCTATACTTGTGGTAAAGAATCATTTCGCAACTGAAATCAACCGATGAAACGGCAATTTTTTAAAGATTTTTTTGTAGCTGTGGATAATACACATCCCTAATTTTGCTTATTATTTTTTAGAAAAAAAATGCGTATTATACATGGGGAATTACGGTAACCCAATATCAGTTTAACACAATCTTCTTATTTAAAACACTTCTTTTCTTTGGCGTTGTATCATAATTAAACTAACCAAATAGAACACGTGAAAATTAAAAGTAGTATGTCTACTTTTATTAGCTCGAAAGAAAATGCGTTCGTTGTTTTTTGTTCGTTTCAATTACGTTGTCTTGATGAGCCTGCAATTAGAAAGTACGAAAGAATAAAATAGTGACTCACAACCGTTTCATATGTAATCAAATATGGCGGACTTATTTTGGATATCTAGAAGGAGACAGGTATATTTGTCCTTGGAAAAAGATATAAAATATGTATAAACATGAATGAAATAATAAAAAGAATGATTATAGAAAGAGAGAAGAGTAAATGCTGGGAAGAAAGAAAGAAAGAAAGAAAGAAAGAAAGAAAGAAAGAAAAGAAAGCAACAAACAAACAAAAACAAATAATGGAAATAATTAGCTCTTCAATGAAGGCAAAAAATGAAAGAAAAAAGAAGGGTTAACTTCTGTGTACCGTGTTTCTTCAGGACGTAGGCAATCATGGCTCTCTACAACATCCTCTCCTTTTTATTAGTTTTGTCTTTTTACTCCTAATCTGTTCTGTCAGCCATTTACACAATCTTTTTAAATAGGTTATGTGCTGTTTTCCTCTGTCTTTCTTGCTTTCAATATATCCTGTGAGTGTTAAATTCCCCAAACCCTCTTTCTTCATTATGTGCCCTAGAAATTTAAATTGTTTCTTTCTGATTCTAAGTATTTGTACATATTTGTTTCCATTTCCCTTAAAAACTTCCTTGTTACTCACATGTTCAGTTCATGGTATTCTCAGCAGCCTTCTGTAGAACCACATTTCTGTTGCCTCAAGTCTCTTCTTCATCGGTGAGGAGATTGTTCAACATTCAGTCTTTAGGAAGACCGATATTGCATAACAGCTCAGCTTTCTGACTTTGCAAAAACATCTAGATTAAGACTGATTTTATTCGCAGTTAAGGTTAGAGAAGAAAACACAAGATATCTTTATGGCTCTGTGAAATACTTTTGATATATTGGTCTCGCATATTTTTATAAAATAATTAAGTGATGGCGCCTATAAGTCTGTTTCTACCCAATCTTCCATGGCAAACGGGTCTTGGGTATGACTATAAACTACGGGGGATTCGAGGTTTTGAGAAGCGTGGAACCGTCTCTTAATTGCTGACCAAAGATGGTATAGTGAACCACCAAACAAAAGCAAAACACTATGAAAGTATAAAAATACATTTTTATCGTAATTTTTTTATTTTTTTATCAATTCACCCCAAGCAAGACACAAGGATCTACCGATAGTAAAAGAGAATTGAAAATATTTTAGAAGAACCAGAAACCCAATCCTAAACAGCGAACAATGGATAAACCTCTATTCCTGTTCAAAAGACAGGGTATATTAAAAATAATTACCAACAATATCTATTTATAGTAGCAATACCGACAATACTTATTTAAAACAAAATGACATGCAATGCATTTTATCTGCAGTTGAAGGCATAGAATTGCTTTCCAAATATTTAGATTTCGGCATTAAATAACCCATACAGGCTGACATGCCGCTAAACGAAGTCAAACAAACAACCAACATGAAAGAACGTTTTCATGACATTAAGTCATATAACATCCTAAAATTCCTTAAAAAAATCAATCTATATTCCAAAATATAACTTCAACTACAACATAAAACACACATATCACCGCCTCTAGTAATTATGTCCACACAAACATTTATATGCACAAAAGCTGAGTATCATCTACCATGTATTCAACTGTGAAAACGGAATAACATATATCATATATTTATTGCTTCAAAGCTCCCATGAAAATTAATTTTCGGTATTAAATGACGCATAAGGAGTTGATATGCCATTAAACAAACAAATCAAATCAAATCCCTGGCAAACACGGACGTTTTATTTGTTTGATTATATATTTTTTCAAATATAGCTTCAACCCTTTCAAAATGTTCCATATTTTTTGTTTGGGGATACAGTGATACTTTCGTGTTTTCTTTTACAAATTTCGCTGGGTAGATTTTGTCTATATGCAAGTTTGTATTTTTAATATATATATATATATATATATAAGCTATATATACCCCCATATATTATATATATATATATATATATATATATATATATATATATATATATATATATATATATATATATATAAATCCATCACCCCATTTGTGTTTCTGAGTTTCGTACAGTTGTTTAGAGATTTTTTTTTTTTTTTTTTTGTTTAGAGAAAATCAGTATAGAAATGCTTTACTATTACGGGAAAATGATCTCTACTGTTGACATTGAGATTAACTTGTGAAATTACCCTACTTGCTTGCCAAATAACTTCTGCTGAAAAACCGCTTCATGACGTTGCAATAGTACTATATGAGAAAAGGTCGAGAGAGACTCACTCTCTTTCATTTTATTTTCTACAGGATGCCTTAGAGATAAGACGTATCTCGACCCCCTCTGAGGGATCTCTTAGTCTTCAGCGATCCTTATGTTGCTTTGAACACAACATTGAATAAAACAGAGGATACAAAAAGGAGTTGTTGAATAAATTTAAAATCGCAGTTTCATTATTCTATAAGTTTAGCTTGTGTTTTTTATATTTTATAATTAGGGCTTTTAATATTTTTCTTCTTTTTTACATTTAATATTGCATAGTGTACGTGTGTTGTCGACGTGTATTTGTCATATGTCAGTGAAGATCATATTGTCAAGTGACATATATTTATTGATGTAAGCGCGGACTGCATAGTGATTTATAAGTTGATAAATTAGCCTATGGGATAGAGTAGTGGTTATATGTCCAGTGTACGAATCTGATATTTGTGCATAATAGGGAATGCAATTATAAACTGGGCAAAATAATTCATAAATGCCATTGGTGCAGTATTATGGAGTTTTGAAGGCAGACATTGTTTGTTGATAATGTGATTCTTCTTTTATGTGACATGTCCATTCAGGACATGGGCAACCATGGCTCACCACAATTTCCTATATTTTGTAGTTTTAAGCAATGTTTGTTTCCTTGCTATCCCTCTCAGCCCCCATTCTGTCATCTATTTACACAAGCTCGTAATGTGTAAGATTAACACATCTTCAAAAATGTTAAATACGTTTGATAGAGAAGAATTTTTAATTTATATTTTATTTGTTTACATCCAACATAGCTCATGTATCGATCTAGGGAATCATTATACAAACATTTGCGAAATTCTCTAGCTACATTTGGTAATGATTCTAGTCGAAGGACAATCCTGAATTTAAAAGCAGGTGGTCGTGGAACTCGCAAATCCCTGTAAAACCTCCTTGCTACAGAAGAAGCCACAACAACAACACCTGTCATGGTAAGGCTGGGGACCTATACTCACCAAGGTTAACACTATTTTACGAAAATAGCCAAGTAAGAATATTGTTTTGGATGTCGTCTCATGCCTGACGCCATCCAAACGTATAAACGTCAAACGAAGTTTTTGAAAACATATATGGTGGAACATTGGTTCACGAATTTAATTCGTTCCTGAAACCCTTTTGTAACCCGAAATGTTTGTAAACCAAAACTATTTTTCCAATAGAAATCAATGTAAAATGGATTAATCCGTTCCTGGTTCCAAGATGATTGCTTATTTAAACTTTACCAACAGTACTTTGTGCACAAGTTTATACACAAAACTAATCAATATCATATAATACATAAAACTAATGAAAATATATAAAATCTAAGAAAAAAATACTAAAATAGATAAAATATAGACGAACACTTCAATTTTACCGTACCTGTATCTAGGAGAGTTGATGGCGTAAGTTGAAAGGGAAGGAAAGAGATGTTATTGTTTGGAAAAGGGGGAAGGAAAGACATGATCGTCTCTTTATTTATAAGAATAGTATAGATCGTTGATTCTGCCATATGAAATTGAGTAGGAAAAGACAATATCATCATAATAGAGACAATATCATCAACAAGCTAGCTTTCTTTGGAGCCACGACTGAGGACTAAAGAAGAGAAACTGTCACAGTCGAATAAAATTGGAAAAGAAAAGCAGAGCACAATACACGAATGTATACAACACGGCGGTCGACTAAAAAATGATTCCGTTCGGGTTAATTCGGTTCAGCGATGTTGTTCGAGTACCGAAATTTTGTTCGATAACCGAGGCATTTTCATCTCGAATTTTCTGTTCGAAAACCGATTTGTTTGACAACAGAGAACAGAGGTTGCACTGTATAACAATTGAAAAGCTAACATCCACTTAGTTTTTCCTTGTCTTGAAAATATATATGCTAACCAGCCAAACAGCACTCAGGGATTCCTATCCAAATCGTAACTTTGAGTTACATGTTATGTAATCGTCAGATGGCAAGAATAGGTCTTTCTTTTTCGTTTACTTTGTCTTTTCATGTTTTTTTGTTTTTTATTTTTATTGTTACTTTTATTTATTTTTTTTGTTTTTGTTTTTTTGGCAGGGTTAAGTTTGGTAGTATTGTTCTTTGAATCTTGTTGCGGTAAGCGCATTGTTAAAACGTCGGGAAGTCACCGAATTCTTGCGGCATGTGTATGTTTGCGTGTCATATCACGTCGTGGTCGCCAAGTGTTGCAGGAACTATTTCTGACTAAAAACCGTGGCTACGATATTTTCCACAAGTAAATGACGAGTGTAAAGAAAATAAATTAATTTTAACAGGGCGATATTTTATATCCTTGTTTGTATAAAACTGAGTAACAAGAGAGAAAAATACAGGAATATGAATACAAAAGAAAGAAGACATAAAAAAATTAGGAATTGTGTGGCTGACACAAGACCGTGCGTGTGGAAGTTCAGTCACTAAGGGGAAAGATATCCTCATGCTTGGGCCATCCCGGGTATGACGATAAACTACATCAGCGTCAAGGGTAAGATGATAAACTACGTCCAACAGCAAGGCCTCTGATCAGGGGGTTTTGAGGAGCATGGAACCACCTTTTAATTGCTAGTGTTCCCAGGTCCACCCTGACACGGGGTGGTAGCACCTGTTAGGGTCCCAGCTAAGGTCAATATTTATAACCCAAACTTATGTAAAAATAGGTTTTAATACCAGAAATATTTTGTAATAAAAAATTATTACTAGCAATAATTTTTGAAGGAAATTTATCAGTAATGCTTTAAAAAAATACCAGTAATACAAACAGCTATACATTCTTAAGGAGTTGGATTGTACTCAAAAATATGAGTAATTGAAAAATGGTTCAAATATATATGTATACATACACACCTTTTTACCAAACTATCGCTATGAATCTATTTCAAAAATTTTGTTGGCATTAAATGACCCACTGAGGTTGATATGCCATAAAACAAAACAACCAACCAACCAACCCATGCTTGTGAATAAGTGTCCGGTGTTGTCACTAATGCTGGGAGAGAAAGAGAGATAAGAGAATTAAAA